TTTTAGAAATAATCTACATGTATTTTTATCTTCTTAAATATGAAACATCCCGATTTCATTTAGTAATTTTCTGACCTAGTAGCAATTAATCCGCATTATTGGCTGGCATTTAGTTCCTTAATTTTCCCTCTATTTGCTATCTCTTTAACTTCCTAAATTGTGACTGGTTTAGTTCTCTACATTATTTGTGTTAATAAGAGAAAAAGTAATAATAATAATAAAGAAACCATATCAATAGCAACTATACTTACTACGTAAGGCACCACTCTAACAGCAATACTGTATTGCTACTTCTGTCTCAAAACCATTGCCAAGTAGATATTTTGATCCCCGTTTTAAAACAAGGACACCAAAGCTCAGAGACACCCAGAAATGTGTCCAAGGTCACATTTGACATAAGTAGTGGAGTCAAGATTTCTGTCCAAGCCTGACTAACTCAAGTGGCTATATTTTTCACCACTGTATTCGGGTACCTTCCTTGATTACTTTTCTTGGTATCTAACACATGATGGTCAAGAGCCAAGATTTCTAAATCAGAGGCCTAGTTTTAAATTCCAGTTCTGCCAATTTCTAGTTGAGTAACTTGGGACTGATTATTTAATCTCTGTCATCCTCTTTATCTGTAAAATGAGGATAATAATTTCTTCCTCCTGAGGTTCTTGTAAGGATTAAAGAAGAAAATGGGCCAGGTGCGGTGGCTCACACCTGTAATCTCAGCACTTTGGAAGGCAGGAGAATTGCTTGAACCCAAAAGTTTGAGACTAGCCTAGGCAATATAGTGAGCTCTCATTTCTACGAAGAAGAAGGAGGAGGAGGAGAAAGAAGAGAGGAGGAAAAAAAGGAGGAAGAGAAAGAGGAGAAAGAAGAAAATGTACAGTGCTGAGCACATAGTTAATGTTCAATTAACAATGACTTATAATTGCTGCATTTTTGTTGACTTCATTAAACTTTTCTTTTTTTGAGTTGGAGTATCACTCCATCACCCAGGCTGGAGTGCAGTGGTACATTCACAGCCATCCCAGCGTCAACCTGTTGGTCTCAGGCGATCCTTCTGCCTCAGCCTTCCAAGTAGCCGGAACAATAGGGGCACGCTACCAAGCCCAGCTTATTTTTGATTTATTGTAGTGATGAGGTTCTGCCAAGTTGCCCAGGTTGGTTTCAAACCCCTGGCCTCAGGCAATTCCCTCACCTCAGCCTCCCAAAGTGTTGGGATTACAGGCTTGAGCCGCCGCGCCTGGCCTCATTATACTTTTTATCCCATGCAAAAATACCTACTCCTTTCTCCTGCACATTGCATTCCCACTACACGCCAGTTTCTGGAATTCATTATGCACTGATGTGTATACAATAACAAGGGAGTTTCACAGAAATAACAGGAAAACAGAACTAATTTGAGAAACAGCATCCCCAAAAATACTCGGAGGATATTACAAGTGTGGCATCCTTCCTGGACCTCCTATTTTCTTTACCTTCAGCTTTGTAAAAGGGTCATTTCTCTCCGGATGACAATATCAGCTGCTTCCCTGCGACAGGCAGCAAACTCATATTTCTGCCAAATGAAAGGGACTTGCCCTCATCTTGTGTCTACTACTTCTCCTTGTCACTTACTTTATCTCCTTCACCCAAACTGGAGTCCTTCCATAATTTACAGCCGGAAGCCTCCGATATCAGGCTCTGCACATGGGCTTCCAGGTAAGAGGTCTTGGAACAATCTCTCCTGGCCGCAGTGTGGTAACTCCCCCCGTGGGTACCCGCTCATCCTCTCTGTCCCTCTCTCCCCTGAAGCCTAGTCTGTCACTTGGAACAGGACTTGCTTTCCTGTGGTGACAGCCTCATGTTTGTGTCTTTTGGGATCATTTTGGGACTGGACCCAAAAGACCATAATCTGCTTGGGGCCTCACAGCTAGGTTCTCATTTAATTGGGGGGCGGGGAACAAACATCAAAAGCCAAACACAATCCCAAGAGCCTAACTATTGTTTAGTGCAGGGGGATTTCAGACCTCAGTCTGGCAATAGGTAGAGTGTGCAGAACCCAAAGCCCTTCCCCTAAACAGCACTATAGTCCCAACGCATCACCTGCATTCTAGACATAGCTGTTCATCTGCTCAGAGACAACCTCAGAAAAGAGAAACAGGGTTTTTGTTTTGATCACTTCTCTCTCCACTAATTTCTGTTTGTACAAAACTGTGTCATTACTAAGAAAGATTCAACATTCAGAAGGCCATGAGGAACTTACTGGTGTCATAAACAGGTAACAAAGCAGAAGAGAAAGCAAGGAATCAGATTTATCTGGCTAGAGTGGGAAGGGGAAGGAGAGGGGAAGAGGGAGATGGGGGAGGAGCCCGAGTCTCAACAGGTCTTAGAGGAATACCAAGCAGGCTAGGAAAGCAGACCTCCACAGACTGCCTCTTTCTCTTTCCAGTCTACCCCTCAACATGGAACAACATACCACCTCCATCTTGTTTGGCTGCTTTGGGCGTTTCTTTCTGGTAAAAAAGAGTATAAGCTCATTTTGAGACCAAGAGCTTTGAGCAGTGGCACGTAGGCTGAAGTGATGGTTTCACAAAGCTGATCCCCTGGTAATTCTGCAACTCACTGGCCTCTCCCAATTTACAGGTCAGAATCTCTAGGACAAGTCAGAGATAATTCTTATATACAATAAAATGTGAGAATCATGGAGAGAGAGCATCTTGAGAATCACTAACCTAGGCAAATTTCCAAGTATCCATTTTGTGCAGAATAAGAGCTCCCCCAAGATATTTGTGTCCTAATTCCCCGAACCTATGAATATGCTCGGTTATAGGCCAAAGGAGAATAAAGGCTGCTAATCATTTGGTTTTAACATGGGGAGATTATCCTGGATTATCCATCATCACAAAGGTCCTTTTAGAAGGAGACAGAAGACAAGAGTCAGAGAAGGCAACCTGATGACAGAGATCACCAGAAGGATACAGTGTGAGAAGGGCTCATTCTGCCTTTGCAGGTTTTGAAGAGGGAGGAAGGGGCTATGAGCCAAGGAATTCGGGCTCCCTCTAGAAATTGAAAGAAGCAAAAAACCAGATTCTCCCTTAAGGCCTCCAGAAGGACCACAGCCCTGCCGACACCTTGATGTTAGCCCAGTGAGACCTGTGTCTGGCATCTGACCTACAGAACACAAATAATAAAGTGTGTGTTGTTTTAAGACTCTAAGTTTGTGGCAATTTTGGGAGGAGGGTCCCCAAATATCTATCATGTGCTCTAATAAGTTTTTTTGTTTTTAAAGAGGAAAAGAAAATCAGGCTGGACACGGTGGCTATAATCATGGCCATAATCTCAGCACTTTGGGAGGCCGAAGTGGGAGAGTTACTTGAGCACAGGAGTTCAAAGCCAGCCTGGGCAACATAGCAGGAAAACTAATACAAAGAAGTTAATGGTAAATGACTGTATTCAATGACATTGATAGATAGGATATATAAAAATGCACATGTACAGAATGGTTTCTGAAAGGCGTAGAGTTTAAGAGACTTCTATGAACACAGGCAAATTTTCTGCCTGTTAGAATGAGGTCATATTTCTAGACCTAATTTATATCAAGTCTCCTTAATTCGGTTGCGCTGGTTACTTTCCTGTTTGTTTCTGAAGGTCCATTAGCCACCCTCTACACTCTGTTCTTTGTCCTGACTTCTATGGGCTGGGCCACCAGACTCCCTCATTCTCTGGGTTCTGGTTGGGTTTTACTGGTGAGAGGCACCAGCAGGAGGGCATTCACCCTGACATTGCACTTGTAGGGTGAGTGTCCCCTTACATTCTGTGCTCTAGGCACCTTGCTTGCCTCATTCAATGTTAACACCAGGGAAGAAATAAGAAACTCTCTCCAGGGTCCAGGAAAGCCTTCCAGAGGCAGTGATAGGCTGCAGATTGCTATGAGCCCAACCAAGAAGTACCTGGAATTCTTTACCATTTCACAATGCTCCACCCCCACCCCACAACAGACTGCTTTGGGGTGAACTATGACAGAGATCATGCAGTTGGGAAAGCAGGACTGAGAGGCCAAGAAAACAACAGTACCAATAGAAACACTTTAACTGGAAAACCACCCTGGGTTAAGCAATTTACCCAGTTATTATATATGCAACACAGCTATATGCAAATCACATGCAAATATAAATACCACCCTCCATAGGGATAGCTTTTTCTTTGCTTTCTCTGGCTTCTAAAGCAAATCCAATTTGGAGAATAAAAATAGAGAATGGCTCTGTGGTGAGAGAAGATTTGTTTATGCATTTCAGCATTTCTACCAGTACTCCCAATGGTGCCCCTAAGCTCAAAGTGTCTTGTTCAGGTAGAAGAAACATGTGATGTGGAAGCAAACTAAGTAATACTGTAAAGTATAAAGACATAAATGTTTCTGTCTACAGGGTCCTGAGAAGGTGACGATTAGCTCTTCCAGGGGATTGTCACCCACCTCTTCCCATGTTTCTTCCAAGGACTCACAGGGTCTGAGCTCAGTTTTCTTTCTTGTGTCTCCTTAGCACAGTTTATGTTCAATAACTGGGTACTGAGTACCCAAAGGAGCCCATAGACAGGGCAGCCTCGGGAGACCATGGCTGACTTGATGTATATACGCTTAGACATGCATGACCTGTAACTCCAGGAATTTCCCCACTCCTTATGCTCCTCAGTGCTCCCCACCCCCATCCATGATACAAGTATTTTTAGAACAAAACAACAACAAAAAGATAGGAAGAAGACAGTGGCAGGAAGAAGCTGGTAGTATTAATATTCCAAACAAGACTGCAAGAGATGTAAAAGTTAGACAGCCCCTGCCATGACACCCTCTACAAACATTTGTTTCCTGCCTGTAAACAGGAACACTACGCAGAGTCGCTGCCACTTATTTTTAGGTTTTTAGATCTTGTAGATTTTTTTTAAACCAGCAGTGTAGGCTTCCATTCCTACGCCGGGTGGCATGGCCAGCTCTTGAGCATTGGGCTTTCTCCTTGGTGCCTCCGCAGGCCTACCTGAGCCGGGAAGAACCAGAAGAAGAGGTTGCTGTTGTAACTCTCATTCACGGTGATGTAGCCGGCATAGCTCTTCATGCTCAGTCCTGGGAGAGGGCTGACCAAACTCAGTTCTTTCCCTAGTGGGGAAAAAAGAATTTACCCAAGGATTAGAGAAAAGTATCCTGTGAGCCATCTCAGTCTTGGTGTGGCTTCTCCCAGATCTGGGATGGTGGGATCAGAGAAGCAGCAAGGAAATTGATAGGAGAAGCAGAGGTACTTACTACAGCAAATTCAAGCCTGCCCCTGCCAATCTCACTTATTTCACATGCACAGTTTAGTCAAGGACAAGTGAAATGTTTGAGCCTTTTGGGGAAAAGTTCCCCAATGTCTTTTATAAGCTGCCATCAATTTTTTTTTTTAAAGAAGAAAAGAGGCCAGGCGGGGTGGCTCAACCTGTAATCCCAGCACTTTGGGAGGCTGAGGTGAGAGGACTGCCTGAGCCCGGGGTTCGAGACCAGTCTGGGCCACTTGTTGAAACCTTGTCTCTATAGTAAATCACAAAAACTAGCTGGGTGTGGTGGTGTGCATCTATAGTTCAGCTACTTGGAAGGCTGAGGTGGAAGGATCGCCTGAGCCCAGCAGGTCGAGGCTATGGTGGCCATGAGCATGCCACCGCACTCCAGCATGGCAGACAAAGAGTGAGACTCCAACTCAAAAAAAAAAAAAAAAGAAGAAAAGAACATTAGGTCGGGCGTGGTAGCTCATGCTCAAGGTGGGAGGATTGCTTGAAGCTAAGAGTTCAAGACCAGCCTAGGCAACATAGCGGGAACTCATCTCTATAAGAAATTTTAAAAATAAGCTGGGTGTGGTGGCATGGATCTGTAGTCCCAGCTACTCAGGAGGCTAAGAGGGAAGGATCGCCTGAGTCAGGAAGTCCAGGCTGCAGTGAGCCAGCATCATGCCACTGCACTGCAGCCTGGGCAACAGAGTGAGACCCCAACTCAAAAAACAAAAAAACCCCACCTTTCATCACACCTTGTGTAATTGAAGGTTCTCACACTGGGCCACTCGGAAGGGGGGTAGGATAAAGTTCCCTGTCGCTCAAGGGGTGGGGTGCAAGAGAACAAGGCCACCAAGCAGCTCTCAGCCCTAAGGAGGCCTGTGTCCTCCACACCATCACACTCTCATTTCCACGAAGGCAAAAAGCTGGGCATGTCCATTTAGGGAAGTGAACTGACACATGGCAGGGAACAAAGGCAGCTGGGGAGGGGGATGGGGAAAGGCAGGCAGTGAGCCTGGGGGTGACCTCACAGCAACTCAAAGGGAGCCAAACGGGACAATGGTGCAGTTGTAGAGGGCAGAGGTCCTGGCTGTCTTCTGAAAGCAGAGGGACAGGTACAGGGAAGGAGTAAGAGGACAGCTGAGGACATCCAGGGTTAAAGAGAACTAATAGATGGTTCATGTCTGACACTTACAAGGTCACTGTACCAATGGCTTGACATTATGTGGGGGTATACTAATCAGTCCCACCTTACAGATGAGAAATGTGGAGCACAGAGAGTTTAAGTAACTTGCTCAAGGTCACACAGCAAGTGGAGTAGAGCAACAGTCATGTCGCAGAGTTTATTCCTTCCCAACCCTACTACTGAGCTTCTCAACTAGAGTTAGGTGGAAGATGTAGGTGGCAGGAAAATGGGAAGGGAAGTAGTGATCAGGGAGTGGAGGAGAAACAGAAAACACATAGCAGGATGTTTGGGGAAGCCGAAGGTTTGAGGAAAGGGGAAGAATCCTTTAGTGATGACAAAGAGTGTGCCCCCAAAATAGACTATTCACTCAAGAAAAGCATGCCTATAATCCCAGCATTTTGGGAGGCTGAGGTGAGAGGATTGTCTGAGCTCAGGGGTTCGAGACCAGCCTGAGCGACATGGTGAAATCTCATCTTTACAATAAATAGAAAAATTAGCCGGGCATGGTGGCGCACTTCTCCTTCTGCTTCCCCATACATCCTGCTATGTATTTTCTGTTCCTCCTTCACTCCCTGATCACTAGTTCCCTTCCCACTTTCCTGCCACCTACATCTTCTGCCTAATTCTCTAGTTGAGAAGCTCAGTAGCAGGGTTGGAAAGGAATAAACTCTGCAGCCTGACTGCTGCTCTACTCCATTTGCTGTGTGACCTTGAGCAAGTTACTTAAACTCTCTGTGCTCCACATTTCTCATCTGTAGGGTGGAGCATGCCACTGCACTCCAGCCTGGGTGACAGAGTGCGACTCCAACTCAAAAAAAAAAAAAAAGGAAAGAAAAGCGACTTAGTTCTGAGACATATTAAGTTGGAGACTGGTTGTAGGTAAGAAAACTCAACCAGGTGTGGTGGCTCACGACTATAATCCCAGCACTTTGGGAGACCAAGGCAGGAGGATTGCTTGAGGCCAGGAGTTTAAGAGCAGTCTAGGCAACATAGAAAGACTTTGTCTCTACAAAAAAATTAAGAAAGAAAATAAAAAAGAAAACTCGACCCCGCACCTGCCATTAACTAAAGACACCTCCAGCGGTAGGTGGAGCCCTTAGGCTCTGGAGTACTAATTGTCAATATCTCTCCCCAGCCTGGCACTCAGTGACACCAGTGATACAGTAGAATAAGCCATGGTGAGAATATTTACACAAGGGAATTGGTGTTACAAATCAGGGTCCTGACCCACGAGCTGATTGCTAAACTTCTCCCAGCATACCACTGCTTTGGGGTCACAAGTTCCTCTTTTATTTATTTATTTTTATTTTAGAGTTGTGAGGTACATGTGAGGATTTGCTACATAAGTAAATTGCATGCTGGTGAGGTTTGGGCTTCTAGTGAGCCCTCTCTCCCCTGTAGTGGACATGATACTCAACGGGTAGTTGTGTGTCCCCCCTATTTCCCTCTCCCTCCCTCTCCCCACTAATAGTTCCCATCGTTAGGTGTTCCCACCTGTGTGCTCACATACCCAATGTTTAGGGCCCACTTATGAGTGAGAACGTGCAATATTCAGTTCTTCATTTCTGTGATAGTTCACTTAGAGTGATGGTCTCCAGTTGCACCCATGTTGCTGCCAAGGACATGATTCTGTTCTTCTTTATGGCTGCATAGTATTCATTGTATATAAGTACCACATTTTCTTATCCAGTCCACTTGTGATGGGCATGTGGGTTAGTTTCATGTTCTTGCTACTGTGAATAGTGCTACAGTGAACATATGGGTGCACTGTTGTAGAGTGATTTATGTTCCTGTGGGTATATTCCCAGAAGTGGGACTGCTGGATCATATTGTAGCTCAATTTTTAGTTCTTTGAGAAAACACCACACTACTTGGTTGAACTAGCTTACATTCCCACCAACAGTGTAGAAGTGTTCCTTTTTCTCTACAATTTTTCTCCGCAATCTCACCAACACCTGTCTTTTTGTGGCCTTTTAATGATAATCATCCTGACCAGTGTGAGGTGGTAACTCATTGTAGTTTTGATTTGCATTTCTCTGATGATTAGTGAAGCTGAGCCTTTTTTTCCAAATGTGTATTGGCTGTTTGGATGTCTTCCTTTGAAAACTGTTCATGTCCTTTGCCCACTTTTTAATGGGGTTAATTTTCGTTTCTGTCAATTCTTTTGAGTTCCTTATAGATCCTGAGTGTTAGGACTCTGACAGATGTATAGTTTGAAGATTCCCCCCGCCCCCATTCTGTGGATTGTCTCTTTAATTTCTTGATGGTTTTTTATTGCTGTGGAAAACTTTTTAACTTAATAAAGTCCTACCTGTCAATCTTAGCTTTTGTTGCATTTGCTCTTGAGGACTTGGCCATGAATTCATTGCCTACTCTGATGTCCAGAAGGATGTTCCCTATGTTTTCTTCTAAGATTCTTTTTTTTTTTTTAAAGTTTTTAAAACAAAGTTTATTAGAGAAAGAAGAGAGGAATGAAAGGGCTTGTGAAAGTGTCATACCAGAAAGGCCTGGCATGGGCAATTCTCTTTCAAAGAAAAAAAGACTAATGTTTTCTTCTAAGATTCTTATAGCTTGAGGTTTCACATTTAGGTCTTTGACCCATTTTGAGTAAATTTTCGCATATGGTGGTAGGTAGGGGTCCTGTTTTGGTTTTCTGCATGTGGTAAGCCAGTTTTCCCAGCATCGTTTGTTAAATATGACTTTCTTTCCCCAATGTTTGTTTTTCTTGGCTTTGTTGAAGATGAGTTGGTTGAAGGTCTGTGGTTTTATTTTCGGATTCTCTGTCCTGTTCTATTGGTCTATGTGTCTATTTTTGTACCAGTACCATGCTGTCTTGATTACTGTAGTCTTGTAGTAAAGTTTGAGAGGTAGGAGTGTGATGCCTCTGGCCTTGTTCTTTTTGCTGAGGAGTGTTTTAGTTATTCAGGTTTTTTGTTGTTGTTGTTGCTTCTATATGAATTTCTGTGTTGTCTTTCTAGGTCTTTGAAAACTGATACTGGTAGTTTGAAAGGGATTACACTGAGTCTGTAGATTGCCTTGGGTAGTAGGATGGACAGCTTGACAATATTGAGTGTACTGGTAAAGCAGCTTCAGATGGTCTCTCCCCAAGAAAACCACTTCCTGCCACTGCTGCCCCAACACAAGTTCCTCCTTTCAAATCAGTGTGCCTCCCAGAAGGGAAAACTCTCATCTAGCCCCCACAGTTCCTTTTTCCTAGAACTTTGCTAATCCCAGTACTACTATTGACAAACCTGTGCCCTCTGAGCAGATATTTCACTCACTTGCATTTCAGTTTGGCATCTATGAAAGATGGACTACCTATGGGTCCTCAAGAACAAAGAGTTCCCATATTCAAAATCCATAAAAAGGAGCTGGCAGGTAAGAAGCACAGCTCTGTCGTCTGTGAGATGCAAACCCTTGATTAGGAGCAGGGGCATCTTGGAGCACAGTAGATGGTGTGGACACCAGAGGGGCCTCAGTAGGCATTTTCCCGGAGATCCTGTTAGGATAGCACAATAGGGAGAGCATGGATTTCCTAGTTGGACAGACCTGGGTGTAAAACCCCAACTAGACTGGGCCCCCCCCCAGCAAGTTGCTCCCTGTCTCCAAGCCTCTTTACTTTTGTGCAAAATGTGGATACTGATCCCCCCATTCCAGGCTTTCCGTGAAGA